CTCGGGGTTCTCTTGGGGGCGCTCTTTGGGCTCTCTAAGGGCGTCTTGGGGGCCTCTTGAGCCGTCTTGGAGGCCTCTTGAGCCGTCTTAATGTCATCTGTGGTGCCTTTGAGTTGCCTCGGACCGCTTCGGGTCCTTCTTGGACCATCGGAGGCGCTTCTTGAGGTACCCTCGAGGGTTGTGGCGGTTGCTGTGGGCTGGCTGAGCTTCCTGGGACGCGCGCGACACACCTCAGGGACACCCCGAAGTCGCAAAGACTTTGCGGGGAGCCGGGGGTCCGGGCTTTGAAAGAGCCTTACCCACCCTGTACCTCTCAGGACTGCACGAGCCTCGGGGCACCCAGCCGAAGCTACGGTGGCGGACTGCGGATGCTGGTGGCCGTCCAGAGTGCAGGGCCTCCGCGGCAATGGACGGCGAGCCAGCACCTGCCGGAGCTGCACGCCGTCGTGGTGGCCCGCGGGCGGGGTGTGCGGCAGCCGCGCCCATGCCTTGCAGCCGCACGTGGGCATTCGGGCGAGGCAGTGTGAGGCAGTGCACCACCGCTGGCCAGCGGCCACTTCATCGGTGACAGACTGACGGGCAGTGAGAGGAAGGGAGTAGGCGAGGAGGGGGTGGAATGGAGTGGGACCAATGGCAGAGTCATGCACGTTTTAAGACAAAGGCTTCGACATTGGGACGGCCTGCAGGCTGCAGCTGTAGCCCCTGACCCAGGCAGCCACTGTGAAAGCGCTATGTGCCTCCAGTTCCAAGACACTCAAGGGAATGTCCCTTGTTGAGGATGGCCGCCTCACGAGGGCTATTCTCAATGCGTACGCACGCCGCACAGACCCGAGTACACAAGTGCGGATGAAGACGCACTGTATTAGCAATCATTCGCACACGAACGAGTGCATTGACAGTGCCCAGAAGGTGCAAACACAGACCTCGGATACACGAGGAGTCAAGGAGGATTCGGCGTAAATGCGTGTGGGCTGCTACACGTAATTCCAAGAGGAGGCGATGGGGCGATGAGGATGAGGGTGATGATGAACAATACTAATATTATTATCACTAATGGTAGCAGTATTTCTACTACTGCTAATACTAATAATACTAGCAGTCATACCAACAACATTACTAATACTACGCATGTTAATCATACTACAAAGGTGGTACGATGAGTAGCACACACAACACGAGTAATGCTCTATATAGCGGTATTAGCAATACGATTCGTAATATTATGGACAGTAAGCGTGTGAGTTCCACACATCGTAATCGTAGTTGTTATGCTTCTATGCTTAATCCTACGGACACTCCCATTACTATTATCAAATACTATCAATAGTACTAACCAGTATGGCCGTGCTGGTAATCATGTGACTCATCGTAGCACTACTAGTTGTGCTACTTGTTAGTATTTGCAACCATCATAATAACACGGCTACCGCGCATACTAAGAGTAATACTAATACGGGGGATATGAATAACAATAATACGAGAAGGAGGAGGAGGATTAGGAGGAGGAGGAGGAGGAAGAACATGACAGGGGCCTCGCGGCGTTACGACAGGACCAGGACGGGCGTTCTTCGACCATTTCTTGGTTTGGGGCCGTTTACGGGCTTGGGCGGTCAAACATGCTCCCCCCCGCCGTGCTCCCTCCTATAATCAACCCGCATAACAAGGATTCGCGACTTTTAAGGTTATCTTGCATCCTCCCCATTCGGCCAATCCTTGGCCGCTTTCGCTGGCCGCGCCCCGCTCGCAAAGTGCTGACACGGCCTTCCAGGGCCCTTGCATTTTTATCGTGCGTCCTTATGCGGGTTGAATGTGTTCCCTCCTCATCCCCCCTCGTGCTCCCTCCTCCCTCCCCGCTCCCTCCTCCTCCCGACGCCGCTTCTCGCCCCTCCCTTCTCGCTCCTCGATCCCAGCCACTGCGACGGCGGCGGCGGTGACGGACGGCCACCCCAATGTGCCCCCCCCCCTTTTCCCCTCCCTCCCAGACGCACCACCCCGCCACCCGGGGAAGGGGAGGAGAGAGAGGGGGAGGCGAAGGAGGAGGAGGAGGAGGATGAGGAGGAGGAGGAGGGGGAGGGGGATGAGGAGGAGGAGAGGAGGAGGAGGAGGAGGAGGAGGAAGAGGAGGAGGATGAGGAGCAGGAGGAGGAGGAGGAGGAGGAGGAGGAGGAGGAGGAGCAGGAGGAAGATGGAGGAGGAGGAGGAGGAGGAGGAGGAGGAGGAGGAGCAGGAGCAGGAGGAAGATGGAGGAGGAGGATGAGGAAGGAGGAGGAGGAGAACGAGGAGGAGGAGGAGGAGAATGAGCAGGAGGAGGATGATGAGGAGGAGCGAAGAGGAGGGAGGATGAGGAGGAGGAGGAGGGCTGATGATGATGATGATGATGATGATGATGATGATGATGATGATGATGATGATGATGGTGATTATGATACTGATGACTATGATGATGATGCTGACGATGCCGATGACGATGATGCCGATTCTGCTGATGCTGATGAAGATCATGCTGATGATGCTGATGATGCTGATGATGATGCCTATGATGATGTGCATGTTGTTGATGATGCTGATGATGTTTATGTTGATCGTGATGATGGCGATGGGGATGATGAGGATGATGAGGATGATGATGAGCATGCTCATGCTGATGATGCTCATCATGCTGATGATGCTGCTGATGATGCTGATGCTGATGCTAATGACGATGATGCTGCTGACGATGATTATGATGTTGATGCTTATGATGATGCTGGTGATGCTGATGATGCTGATGATGCTGATGATTGCGATGATGATGATGCTGATGATGATGATGATGATGCTGATGCTGAAGCTGATGATGATGCTGACGATGCTGATGATGATTACGATTATGATGATGATGTTGCTGATGCTGATGCGGAGGACGATGAGGAGGCGGAAGAGGAGGCGGAGGAGGAGAATGAGGATGATGATGATGCGGCGGAGGAAGACGAGGATGATGATGCTGCTGATGATGCGTATGATGATGCTGATGATGAGTATGATGATGATGATGATGATGATGATGATGATGATGATGATGATGATGATGATGGTGACAGTGACGGTGACGGTGACGATGACGATGCTGATGATGCTGATGATGATGATGATGGTGATGATGATTATGAAACTGCTACTGCTGATGATGATGATGATGATGATGATGATGATGATGATGATGATGCTGATGATGATGATGATTCTGATTCTGATGACGATGAGGGGGAGGAGGAGGAGGGGCAGGATGATGATGCTGATGATGATGATGATGATGCTGATGATGCTGCCGCTGCTGCTGCTGCTGCTGCTGCTGCTGATGATGATGATGATGATGATGATGATGATGATGATGATGATGATGATGATGATGATGATGATGATGATGATGATACGGCGATGCTGATTATGATGATGCTGATGCTGATGATGATGTTGATTCTAATGTTGATGGGGATGGTGGTGGTGGTGAGGAGGCGGAGGAGGAGGCGGAGGAGGAGGAGGGAGGAGGAGGAGGAGGACGAGGAGATGAGGGGAGGAGGAGGAGGAGGAGGAGGAGGAGGAGCAGGAGGAGAACGAGGAGCAGGAGGAGGAGGAGGAGGAGGAGGAGGAGGAGGAGGAGCAGGAGGAGTAGGAGGAGGAGGAGGAGGAGGAGGAGGAGGAGGAGGAGGAGGGGTAGGAGGAGGGAGGAGGCGGAGGAGGATATCAGGATGAGGAGGAGAAGGAGAAGGAGGAGGACGAGGAGGATGACAAGTGTAAACCCAAGACGCATCAACGATGTTGCAATCCACCCTTTCTCCAAGTTTTCTCTTCATAGGTCCCTGCAGTAAGGTTGTCATTGCGGGAAGCGCCCCGTTGGAAGACATCCGTGTGAGAATCCCCAATCCGGCCAAATCACAATTCTTGTTGGTTCAAAGCCTCGAATCAACGCGGCTATTGCGCCCTGACAGTCCTACATTGTGCCAGACCATTGTTCTTAGCACGTCAACACCACACATCAAGGTGATGACCAACGTGGTACAGCCGGTATATCGGTTTGGCACCGCCATGGGGAGCCGCTAGGGAGTATTGCACTTTCCCGTTCGCTCTCGGACTGAGGAGATGTTTCTAGGGACAGATGGTCGTCATTTTGACGACTCCTCTGCCTTCGCCTTCTTGGAGGCTCCACGGGGAGCCCAAGACCCGTGAGCAGTTCAAACCCGCCGGCTGCATCACGTTGGTCAGTTCCCAGAGTGCTGTCCCTGGGGCTTCAACCACGCGCATAGTCGAGCTTGGTGCCGACTTGTATAAGGCGTATGTGTGTGCGAAACGACGGCGAGAGACCAGACCGCCCTCGATCCTTGAACTGTTTCCGAGTTTTCAAGGCGAAGGTGCGCGGCGCTGAGGCGAGAGCCACATTTTGAAACCGACCCGTCCTCCGTCCTTCAAACTGTTCTAAACGTTTAGGCCGCATGTGCACGGCGCGACGGCGAGAGCCACACTTTGAGACCGAGCCACCCTCCATCCTTGAAGCTGTTGCAGATTTTGTGCCTCAGGGCCAACGTGTGAGGACGTCTTGTGCAAAACGCCCAGGCCAACCGTACCGACATTTGGGAGTGCAGCAGAGAGGAGTCATCTATAGGGAGAGGAGGTGACGGAGGAGGTGATAATGAGAGGAGGAAATGGTGGAGGAGTTGGAGTAGGAGGAGGAGGAGGAGGAGGAGGAGGAGGGAGAAGGGAGGAGGGGAAAAGGATGATGATGGGGGAGGAGGAGGGGAGGAGGAGGGGGAGGAGGGGAGGAGGAGGAGGATGAGGAGGAGGAAGAGGAGGAAGAGGAGAAGGAGGAGAAGGCGGAAGAGGAGGAGGAGGACGACGAGGAGAAGGAGGAGGAGGCGGAGGAGGAGGAGGAGAAGGAGGAGGAGGAGGAGGAGGGGGAGGAGGTGGAGGAGGAGGAGGAGGAGGAGGAAGAGGCGCAGGCGGAAGAGGAGGAGGAGGAGGAGGAGGAGGGGGAAGAGGCGAAAGAGGAGGAGGAGGAGGCGGAGGAGAAGGAAGAGGGAGAGGAAGAGGACGATGATGAGGATGAGTAGGAGTAGGAGGAGGAGGAGGAGGAATAACCTCCCTCCTCGCTCTTCGCGCCCGACCGCCGTGACGGCGGCGACGGCGACGGACGGCGCACCCCCCCTGCCCGAAACCCGAAACGAACCTGCGAGGCCAAGCTCCACGTCGCGCGCTGCCCGCCCGAGGCGGGGACGCCTCTAGTGGGCGGCCTTCACGCGGCCCCTCGGTGGCCTTTCGGCTGCGCTTCGGCGGCCTTTCGACGGCCCTCGTCTGCCCATCGGCGGTGCTTGTCTGGCAGGCCCCACACGGCAGGCCTGTCCGCTGGTCTGGCCCACCCCCGCCCCCAGCAGGAGGGAGGTGTCGGGAGGCTGGCGGCGGTGGCGGCAGGCGGGAGGTAGGGATGGAGGAGAAGGAAGGAGGATGAGGAGGAGAAGGCGGGGACGGGAGGGAAGGAGGGAGGGAGGGCGGGAGGGAGGGGGGGAGAATGAGGATGAGGATGAGGATGATGTTGATGATGCTGCTGATGACGATGACGATGACGATGACGATGAGGATGACGATGACGATGACGATGATGATGATGATGATGATGATGATGATGATGATGATGATGATGATGAGGATGATGATGATGATGATGATGATGATGATGATGATGATGATGCTGATGACGACGATGCTGATGATGATGATGATGAGGAGGAAGAGGAGGAGGAGGAGGAAGAGGAGGAGGCGGTGGAGACTGCTCGTGGTGGCGGTGGTGGAGCTGCTGCTACAGGTGAGGACGAGAAGGAGGAGGAGGGCGATAATGTAGGCACTGGGTGGGCAGGAGGGAGGAGGGGGGCACGAGGAGGACGAGGAGGAGGAGGACGACGACGATGGTGATGATGCTCATGCTGATGCTGATGATGTTGGTGGAATGCTGATGCTGATGCTGATGCTGATGTTGATGTTGATGATGGTGATGATAACGATCATGATGATGATGATGATGATGATGGTGGTGGTGGTGGTGGTGATGATGCTGCAGATGATGATGACGACGACGATGACGATTGTATTGATGCTGTTGCTGATGATGATGATGATGCTCTTGCTGATGGCTGTGATGCTGATGTTGATGCTGATGCTGATGATGCTAATGATGATGGTGATGCTGATGCTTACGACGCTGGCGATGATGATGATGATGATGATGATGATGATGATGATGATGATGATGATGATGATGATGGTGGTGATGCTGATGACGATGGTGACGATGATGCCGATGGTGATGACGATGAGGATGCTCATACTGATGCAGGTGATGATGCTGATGATGATGCTGATGATGCTAATGATGATGGTGATGCTGATGCTTACGACGCTGGCGATGATGATGATGATGCTGATGATGCTGATGATGATGATGATGCTAATGATGATGGTGACGATGATGCCGATGGTGATGACGATGAGGATGCTGATACTGCTGCAGATGATGATGATGCTGATGATGATGCTGCTGATAATGATGAATTTTGCCGATGATGATGCTGCTGATGATGCTGATGATGATGCTGCTGATGATGATGATGATGGTGATGATGGTGATGATGGTGACGATGGTGGTGGTGGTGGTGATGCTGATTGTGGTGGTTGTGGTGGTTGTGGTGGTTGTGGTGGTGATGGTATGATTATGACAATGGTGGTGTTGATGATGATGACGACGATCACCATGATGATGATGCTGATGATGATGATGCTGATGATGATGATGATGATGATGGTGTTGTTGATGATGATGCCGCTGCTGCAGATGATTATGCTGATGGTTATTGTGATGATGATGACGATGATGATTATGATGATGATGATGATACTGGTGATGATCATGATGTTTACGATGTTTATGATGATTATCCTGATGCTGATTCTGATGACGCTGATGATGGTGGTGGTGATGGTGATGATGCTGATGGTCATGATTATGCTGGCGATGATAATAGTGAAGCTGCTGAGGATGCTGCTGCTGACGATGCTGACGACGATGATGCGCCTGATGCTGATCTTCATGCTGCCGATGATGATGATGATGATGATGATGATGATGATGATGATGCTGATGATGATGATGATGCTGATGCTGATTATGATGAGGACGACGACGATGATGATGATGATGGGGATGATGATGATGATTATTATGATGATGATGATGATGATGATCATGATGATGATGATGATGCGGGTGCTGATGCTGATGCTGATGCTGATGATTGGTGCTGCTGCTGCTGATGGTGATGGTGCTAACGATGCTGATGGCGATGATGTTGTTGATGATGATGATGCTGAGCTGTTGCTGCTGGTGATTATGTTGGTGGTGGTGATGATGACTACGACGGCGACGGCGAGGGTGATGATGGTGATGTCGAGGCTAAGGCTGATTATGGTCATCACGGCAATGTTGATGATGTTGATGATATGGATGGGGAAGGCTGACGATGATTTATGATGACGCTGAGGTTTCTTATGCTGATGATGCTGATTTCGATGCTGTCGCCTCTGATGCTGAGTATGATGATCAGGCGGCTGATTATGGTGTTGCTGCTGGCTATGATGACGATGCTGGTGCTGATGTTGGTTATGACGAGGCTTAGCTGTTGCTGCTGGTGATGATAGTGGTGATGATGACGACGGCCACGGCGATGATGATGACGATGATGCTGATGCTGATGCTGATGCTGACGCTGATGCTGATGCTGCTGCTTATGGTGATGATGATGATGATGATGGTGGTGATGATGATGACGACGACGATGGTGATGCTGCTGCTGATGCTGATGATGCTGACGATCGTTGTGGTTGTGGGTGGTGATGATTGTGATGGTAATGATGCTGCTGGTGGTGATGATGATGATGCTGGTACTGACGACGATGATGATGCTGATGCTGATGAGGGTACAGCTACGGCTGTTGCTGATGATGAAGCTGCTGCTGATTACTAGGATGAAGATGATGCTGATTGTGATGCTGATGCTGATGATGATTATGCCGATGCTGAGTTCTTGCTGCTGCTTCTGGTGATCATGGTGATGATGATGGCGACGACGACTGCGACAGCGATGCTGATGATGATGATGCTGATGATTATGATGCTGGTTGTCGTAGTGGCCTGTGATAATGATGCTGATGCAGCTGCTGACGTTGCTGACAGTGTTGATACTGATTATGGCGATGATGATACTGCTGCTGCTGATGATGATGATGATGATGATGCTGCTGCTGATGATGATGATGATGATGCTGCTGTCCGTGCTGATGTCGATGATGGTACTGCTGCTGGTGGCGATGCTGCTGCGGATTAGGATGATGCTGTTGATGGTGATGCTGTTGTTGATGATGATGGTTATTGTACTGATGCTAAGCTGCTGTTGCTGATGGTGATGGTGGTGAGTGTGATGATGACGACCACGGCGTCGGCGATGATGATGACGATGATGAGGAGGATGCTGCTGATGCTGGTGCTGCTGCTGATGTTGATGCTGATGATGGTGATGATGCCGCTGGTGTTGATGATGATGCTGATGATTGTGATGATGGTGATGATGCTGATGACGATGATGATGATGTCCGTGCTGATGTCGATGATGGTATTGATGCTGGTGATGATGCGGCTGCGGACTAGGATGATGATGCTGAGGGTGATGATGTAGTTGATGATGATGGTTATTGTAATGATGCTAAGCCGTTGCTGCTGATGGTGATAGTGGTGAGTGTGATAATGACGGCCACGGCGTCGGCGATGATGATGACGATGATGAGGAGGATGCTGCTGATGCTGGTGCTGCTGCTGATGTTGATGCTGATGATGGTGATGATGACGCTGGTGTTGATGATGATGCTGATGATTGTGATGGTGGTGATGATGCTGATGACGATGATGATGATGATGTCCGTGCTAATGTCGATGATGGTACTGATGCTGGTGATGATGCTGCTGCGGACTAGGATGATGATGCTGAGGGTGATGATGTAGTTGATGATGATGGTTATTGTAATGATGCTAAGCTGTTGCTGCTGATTGTGATGGTGGTGAGTGTGATGATGACGACCACGGCGTCGGCGATGATGACGATGACCATGATGAGGAGGATGCTGCTGATGCTGGTGCTGCTGCTGATGTGCTGATGATGCTGATGATGGTGCTGATGACAATGGTGATGATGACGGTGATGATGATGATGCTGATGATGATGACGGTAGTGATGATGATGATGATGATGCCGGCGATGATGATGATGATGATGATGATGATGATGCTGGTGATGCTGATGATGATGATGGTGATGATCATGATGATGATGATGGTGACGGCTCCAATTCCTATATGATGATGATGATGATGGGGATGCTGATGATGATGATGATGCTGATCATGATGATGATGATGGTGACGGCTCCAATTCCTATATGATGATGATGATGGGGATGCTGATGGTGATGCTGACGATGATGATGATGATGATGATGATGATGATGATGATGATGATGATGATGAGGATGATGATGATGATGATGATGATGATGATGATGATGCTGACGATGGCGATGATGATGATGGTGATGATGGTGGTGGTGGTAGTGGGTGGTGGCGATGATGGCGATGATGATGACGATGCTGATGAGGATGACGCTGCAGATGATGATGATGCTGCAGATGCAGATGATAATGGTGTTACTGCTGATTATGACGACGATGGTAATGTTGCTTTTTCGTGATGCCGACTCCGACGAGGCTAAGTTGTTGCTGCTGATGATGCTGGTGGTTATGATGATGACGACGACGGCCGCGGCGATGATTATGATGTTGCTGCTGATGATGGTGATTTTGACGATGATTTTTATGCTGATGATGATTGCGCTGACGGTGGTGGTGGTGGTGGTAGTGGGTGACGATGACGATGATGCTGATGATAATGATGCTGGTGAAGATGATGGTGATGTTGACTACGATGATGATGCTGATGCAGATTATGATACTGATGTTGGTCATGATGATGATGATGCTCCTGCTGCTGAGTCTGATGGTGATGATGCTGATGGTGAATGATGATGCTGATGCTGGTCATGATGATGATGATGATGATGATGATGATGATGATGATGATAAAGATGATAAAGATGATAAATGTGATGATGATGGTGACGCTGCTGCTGATTGGGATGATGATGATGCTGTTGATGATGATGATGAGTACGACGAATCTAAATGACGGTGGCGACGGCGTGGATGATGCGAGGATGAGGATGATGATGCTGATGCTGCTGCTTATGGTGATGATGGTGATGATGACGATAGTCATGATGATTATGATGATGATGATGATGATGATGATGATGATGATGATGATGATGATGATGATGATGATGATGATGATGACGATGACGGTGATTATGATGATGATGATGATGATGATGATGATGATGATGATGATGATGATGATGATGATGATGATGATGACGATGACGATGACGACGACGACGATGAGGATGATTATCAGGAGGATGCACGACCTACGGAGGGCGCGGGTCGATGCCCCCCACGCCCGCGGCGGGAACCGAAGGCAGGCCACCGCAGGGGTTCTCAGCCTCCAGCGGCCCGATCTTGATCCCTAACCACGGGTGGCTTGCCCTTCACCTCAGGAGCCAGTTCCCCCCGACCACGAAATCGAATGCCAGAGGGAGGATGATGATTTTGGGTGGGGGGTGAACGAGATGAGGGAGGGGTGTTAATGGGAATCGGAGGGGGGTATAGGGGGAGGAGGAGGGATGAGGACGAATAGTGTTTGTAGTCGCGTAGCTAATCGTAGAGGCAGCAGCGGCAACGGTAGTGGTATCGGTGCGATATTGTTGGCGGCGGTGGTGGTAGTGGTATTACCAATCATTGTACAAACGATAGTAGAGTCAGCGGCCGTGGGCACGCAGTGCTGGTGGTATTGGTGTCGATACTGGTATCAGTATTGCCCATGCGCGCTTGGTGTGTGGAGCCTGTCGTGAATTTACGAGCGGCTGGGAAAAGACTACAGGTATGTGAACGTCACATCATGCGCACCTCGGCGGTGTCGTATTCCGATCATCCCACATGGCGGAGGGAGGGCTTCAGGTACATCAACAGTCATACTCCTCTGAGAGCTGGGCCACGTCACCACGACCTCGCTGCCACTCCCGCCGTAATGATGCGGGCTCGCCGAAGCTCTCGGGCGTGGGTGTCGTCGCCTCTTTCCGCCGCTAGGCCTTCAAGAGCGCGCCGGCTGGGGCCAGCGTCCAGGTGCGCCCGGGCAGTTTAGCAAGTCTTTGCCAGGGGGGAGTTGTGAGGGAGGAGGGAGGCGGGAGGAGCATGAGGAGGGAGGAGGGAGGAGGGAGGAGGGAGGAGGGAGGAGGAGGAGGAGGAGGGAGGAGGGAGGAGGGAGGAGGAGGGAGGAGGCGGGAGTTATGAGGGAGGGGGGAGGCGGGAGGAGCAGGAGGAGCTCCCGGCGCGACCCCCGGCAGAGGTGCGCTTCTTGCTGGAGGCCGAGCGCGTCAGGGCTTGCTGGCACGCCTACTGGGCGCTGGCCGTGGGCTCCTTCGAGCACCTGGCCAAGTATCCTTGCGCTGTCGCGCTCCTCCACCCGCCAGTGGGAGGCGGAGAAGGAGGAGGAGAGGATGGGGAGGAGGAGGAGGAGGAGGAGGAGGACGAGGAGGAAGGGGAGGAGGAGGGAGAAGGAGGAGAGAAGGAGGGTTATGGTGGTGGTCATGATGATGATGATGATTATGATGATGATGATGATGATGATGATGATGATGATGATGATGCTGATTCTGATTATGATGATGATGATGATGATGATGCTGCTGCTGCTGCTGATGATGATGATGATGATGATGATGGTGGTGGTGGTGATGATGATGATGGTGGTGGTGGTGGTGATGGTGATGATGATGATGATGCTGATGATGATGATGATGATGACGATGACGACGACGACGAAGACGATGACGACGACGAGGATGATGATGATGCTGCTGCTGCTGATGATGATGATGATGATGATGATGATGATGATGATGGTGGTGGTGGTGGTGGTGGTGATGATGATGATGATGATGATGATGATGACGTTGTTGATGATGAGGATGATGAGGATGATGAGGAAGAGGAAGAGGAAGAGGAAGAGGAAGAGGAAGAGGAAGGGGGAAGAGGAAGAGGAAGAGGAGGAGGGGGAGGAGGAGGAGGAGGAGGAGGAGGAGGAGGAGGAGGAGGAACAAGATGAGTCGGTGGAGGCCCAGGCGACGGGGGGGCCGCGCTAGGGATGCCTTCGGATCACGTCGGCGCATCCGTCCCTGCGTGCCCCTATCCGTCAAAGGCCCAAGTTTCGTCGCAATTGGAGCATCCACAGTCCACCCGCATGGGAAGGATGGGCAACCTTCCCAAGGGTATACCCTTGTATCCTTGCCTCCTCGGTCCATCCCTCGCCACCTTCGTCGGCCGCGCAGCGCCCGGAAAGCTTCGAAGTGGGCGTCCAAGGCCCTTGCGTCCTTATCGCGCATCCTTACTACACGGGTTGGCTGTACATCGGCGTCACTCCAACATACTTATACTATATGTGCGTCGCCCCCCTGGGGGCGACGCGCGCACCGAGAAATCTTATGCTACATGCGTCGTGGCGGGCGCTTTCTGGCCACGCTGCTCGGGAAACGATACACTACAAGATGGGTATACTACATGTTCGGGTCGGACGCGCGCCTCCGAGGAGGACATATAGTATCAGTCGGGCCCTGGGAGACACTCGTCCGACACTGTTCCGACACCGTTCCGACACTTTCCCGGGCGCTCGAAATAGTTTTTGGGATGTGTCCTCAAGTACGACGGGAGCAGCATAGCTCTGCGTCCTTATCGCGCAGCCCTACGATACGGGTTGGCTTCCCAGGCGACGATAGGGGCGAATAGCCCAGGGGAGAGCAATACATGTATCCAGGTGCGCCGATGGTCTACAGTCGGGGCCCTGAAGAAGGAACCCTTTTGGTTTGGGAGGGGATCCGCGTTCCTTGAGTGTTTCACAGCTTGCCTCAGGTTTCCTTTATGTTTTCGATAGGAAATCGAAGTTTAACTTATGGAAAAAAGGGGCCTCGTTCCTTATTTAGGGTTCCTTAGGTCAACGCCCCGACTGTATGTCTTCGAAGAACTCGCCCAGGCGAAGGCGTGCCATGCCCGCCCCTGGGATATATATATATATATATATATATATATAGTCGCCCCTGTCGTCGCCGCCGATGGCTGTGCATCATCGTCGCGGGCCTGGACCCCGCTGCCCTTCAGTCGGGCCTGTCCCTCTACAGGGGGCATGTTCGAAAATAGTCCAAACAATATAGTCTGGGGACGATTTTCTGATTATTTATTGACCGCTTGGGGGTAGTCTTGTCTCGGAGTGTTTTTTTTTTTTTTTTTTTTCCTCTTCATTTTTCGCCCAAGATCCCCCTGTAGGGCATGTTTTGACTATTTTTGGTTTTCCGTCCAAAATCGGCCTGTGCACATGCACATGCACATGCACCGATCCTGGCAAGGCCCATCCTTGACCCAGGATCGGTGCATATGCCTTCCTGGCCAAGGTAGGAGGGCGTATGCACCGATCCTGGGCTCAGGATGGGCCTGGCCAGAATCGGTGTATGTGCATAGTTCTTTTTCCTCTATGTAGGGGAACAGGCCCGACCGAAGCATGGCCTGCCCTCCCTCCGCCCACCGCGGGAGCCGCCGGCCCGGGCGGGGGGAGCGGGCGCCTCTCGGCGAAGGCCTGCCCCTCGGCGTGCGCAGGCCGCCGGCCCCCCGAGCCGGGCGCGCCCCTCCAGAGGAGGGGCAGCCATTCAGGAGAGGAAAAAACACAGACACAATTAATCCTCGATTCCTCGGAAAATATGGGAAAATATGGGAGGTGGGGGGGAAGACAGAAACCCAGAATATATGCGAAAATATGGGGAATATTTTCGCATATTTTCTAGAGGAGGGGCGGCCACGAGCCGCAGCAGACGAGGGGCGGCCACGAGCCGCAGCAGACGCCCCTCCACAGTCTGAAGGGGCGATGCTCCGTGCTCTTCTGGCAATGGCTGACCGAGCGCGTTCCACTACACTCGCAAGGTGCCTACTCGCGTAGGGGGCCACGTGCGAACCCTACCCCTACCTATGACGATTTCTGAGGGGGAGGGGGTGGGGTTCACTTCGCTCGGGAGCTCCCGAGCGAAGTGAACCCCACCCTCGCCCTCAGAAATCGTAGCGGGCAGGGGTAGGGTTGGCACGTGGCCCCCTGTCGTGCTCTTTTGGCAATCGTTCACCGAGCGCGTTCCACTACACTCGCAGGGTGCCTGCTCGCAGACGTCTGAAACACCCATGTCTGCCTCGATGTAATTCATCGCAGATCCCCCGCGGCGGGTTCAGGCCCCTTGGCGAGTAGTTACCCTGCGAGTCGTGGAGCGCGCTCGTCTAAAAATTTGATTTTTCTGGACCATTGGCACATCTTTTCTGCCAGGATCCGCCTGCAGGAGGACATGCCCGACCAAGGGGGAGCCGCCAAGGGTGTTTTCAAGGCTCCGTTCGTGGCCGTTCTGTGGGGATGTCTCAACATGACATTCGCATGTTGCGTTGCATGGCTAGACGCGCATTCCCAGATCCCACTGACACCTATCCTTTTAAACAGATGCACGTCTGGGGATCTCCACGCAGTGAGTAATTAATTTTTCTGGACCATTTGCACACCTTTTCTGCCAGAATCCGCCTGCAGGAGGACATGCCCGACCTAGCGCCAGCCCCGTGACACACGGCGGGGGTGGGCTGTTGCCCGGTGGGCGCGCCTGGCCCGAGGCCCCGGGGAGAGAAGGGCGCGCTCGCCGTGGCGGTCGCCCAGGCGCTCCTGGACGCGGCGCTGCTGCCCAGACCCCCGCGCGTTGTGAAGAAATCGCGACGGGAGGTTTCTCGTTATTTTCAGCCTCTCGGGGCTCCTACTGGGCCTCGGGACCGTCCCAAAAACCACTCAGGATGAAGAATTGGTCCCGGGGAAGGGGCCCAGACCTCTGGGGTCGACGTTGTGAAGTGCAGACTTAGAGGCGGTAGCAGGACCGAGAGAAATGGAGAGAGAGAGAGAGAGAGAAAACAGGCGAAACAGGAGAAAGGATGACGAACACGAGGGACGGGGAGAGGGAGGAGTGAGCAGGGGTGACGGTTTGGGGAGGAGGCAAGAGGCAATCTGATGCTGCTGCTGATGATGCTGCTGATGCTGATGCTGATGATGCTGCTGATGATGATGCTGATGATGCTGATGATGGTGCTGATGCTGATGCTGATGCTGATGATGATGCTGATGATGATGCTGCTGCTGATGCTGATGCTGATTATGATGATGAAAAAGGAGGTCGTGGAGGCGGAGGAGGATGCTGGCGATGCTGCTGCTGCTGCTGCTGCTGATGCTGATGCTGATGATCATGGTGAGGCCGAGTTTTTGTTTGCTGCTGCTGATGATGCTGATGATGCTGATGATGATGCTGCTGATGATGATGATGATGACGATGGTGCTGGTGATGATGCTGATGATAACGATGATGATGCTGCTGCTGATGATGCTGTTGATGATGCTGCTGCTGATGATGATGATGCTGCTGATGACGATGATGATGATGCTGCTGCTGCTGACGATTATGCTGATGCTGCTGATGTCTATGATGATGCTGTTGATCATGATGATGCTGCTGCTGATGATGCTGATGCTGATGGTGAAAAAGGAGGTGGTGAAGGCGGAGGAGGATGCTGGCGCTGCTGCTGCTGCTGATGCTGATGCTGCTCCTGCTGCTGCTGCTGCTGCTGCTGATGATCATAGTGTGGCTGAGTTTTGGTATGTTGCTGCTGCTGATGATGGTGCCGATGCTGGTGATGGTGATATGGATGGTGGTGGTGCTGCTGATGATGATGAGGAGGTAGAAGAGGAGGAGGATGAGGAGTAGTAGTAGGAGGAGGAGGAGCAGGACGAGGAGGAGCAGGAGGAAGAGGAGGAGGAGTAGGAGGAAGAGGAAGAGGAGGAGGAGGAGGAGGAGGAGGAGGAGGAGGAGGAGGAGGAAGGAGGAATCTGTGGATGGGTGAGGAGGATGAGGAGGAGGAGGAGGAGGCGGAGGAGGAGGAGGAGGAGGAGGAGGAGGAGGGGAAGTAAGAGGAAGAGGAGGACGAGGAGCGGAGGTGGGGAGGAGGAGGAGGAGGAGGAGGAGGAGGAGGAGGAGGAGGAGGAGGAGGAGGAGCAAGAGGAGGAGGAGGGGGGAGAACGCAAAGCGGAGGAGGGAGGGAGGGTGGAGGGAGGAGGCAGAAGGAACGAGCAGGGGAGGGGAGGGATGGATGGAGGGAAGGATGATAAATGTAGGGGTGAGGAGAGACGGGGGTCCCAGACATTCGACGGATTTTTTTGGTTTTGCAACATACGGGTCCAGATGCCCTGACTCCTTCTTCAGGGTAGTAGTTTTTCACCGGGGGTCCCTTCTTGATGTCCTGGGCCCCCGAGAGACCGCAGGATCGAGGTCACCGTTCGGGAATCCCGAAACCGACGAATGGTTCCGCCAGAGGTCCCAGGAGGCGACGGATCTCCGCGTGAGCCAGAGCCAGCGGTGCCACCAGTGTGATCGGGCGTCGAGTCATGGGTGGGCGATAAGTGGGGGGCAGAAGAAAGGTGCACCCTTTGTGTTTCAAAGGGGCCCTGAAATATCCGAGGCGACGATAGGGGCGAATAGCACAGGGGCGGGCGTTACACGCAATCGCCGGGGAGGCTGGCCGAAGACGTGGACCGTCGGCGCCTCTGGATACCTGTAATTCTTGCTCCCCCTTGTGCTATTCGCGTTTGTCGTCGCCTCCGAGACGGGCTCCCTGGGGCCCAAAAAGGGCACGAAGGGTGCACGTCGCCCCTTGCGCTGTTCGTCCTCCTCGTCGCCTCCGACAAGGAGCACCCTGGGGCCCAAGAGGGGCGCGAAAGGTGCAGATGTCTCCCCCCCCATCCCTTCCCCCCCCCTCTCCCCCCTTCTCGCGCCCCCAGGGAGGTGACGCCCGAGGTGGGACCATCCGCCCCGCCGCCGCCCTGGCGTGGGCCCCTGGGGGGGGCCCGGGCGGACTCGCAGCTCGTGTGCCGCGGGGACCAGCGGGGAGCCTCGAGGCTGCGCCCGGCGGCCCCCCCCAGGGGCTGATTTCGATGCGATTCGACTCGATGCGATTCGACTCCGAGCGATTCCGACTCCGATTCGATTGGGCCCGGGATCCTGATGCGGAGTCCGAGTTCTCAGTGGAGCCCCCTAGCCTGCCGGTCTTTGCCGATGCGACCGCTCCCAGCTCGGCTGCCGAGTTCTGCCGACCCGATCCGCTTCGACTGCCGATCCAGTATATCGGTTCGATTCTGGGCTGTCCTGGTCTGCTCTCCGACCGTGAAGCCGTGGCGGAGCGTCTTGGCCTGCCGATGGGCCCAGCAGAGAAGGCCCGAAACACATTCTATCCGGGGGGCAAACCATGGCACAAGCATGAGAGCTTGAGGTCCGCGCAGATTTCTCGGATCGGCGCTGGCGCCCATGCGCGCCAAGGAGAGGGGGCTCCAGCGCCGATCCGAAAAGGCTTCGCGGACCTGCGACTTGTTCTATCCATGTCAGTTTGTTCCCTAATCATACAAGGTTTGCACGAAGTTTTCTTGGAGCATTTCTGGCTGATGCGGTCTTATTCTGATGCATCGCTCGTACATGTTCTGAGAGCACCTCTCTTGTTCTCTGGACCGTCTACTGTTCTAAGAGCGTGCCGTGGTAGGCCTGTAGGAATGTCTGGACGGTCGGTCCCTGCTCAAGATCACCGATCGGTCCGATCGATATCGATGCTGGCCGACTCGACGCGATTTGATTCGGATGTGTTTTGGCAGTCCGGTGCCGCCCGATGCTTGCATGGCGCATCCCATCCTGGTGCAGCCGACCCAATTCTTCACGCTTCGCGTATCCCCACCAGCCCATCTCAAAACAGCAACTCTTGCGAAGCATGCCGACAGTCTTGTTTTTCAGGCGTGTTTCCGCCTGCCCCCGCATATCTCCCCTGTTCCTCCTTCCTCCCGCCTCCTTGTACATCCTCCTTGTGGTGGGAGCGGGAGAAGGACGAGGCGGAGGAGGAGGGAGAGAAAGCGCTCCTCGTGGTTTGAGTCGTTTGGGGTTTCTCGTCCTGGTGTGAGTCGTTCGGGCCCTTCTTCCTGGTGTGAGTCGTTCGGGCTCTTCGTGGTGTGAGTCGTTCGGGCTCTTCGTCCTGGTGTGAGTCGTTCGGGCTTCTCGTGGTGTGAGTTGTTCGGGCCCCTCGTCCTGGTGTGAGTCGTTCGGGCCCCTCCTCCTGGCGTCTTGGGGGCCTCTTGGCGGCCCCAGGGGCTTCTAGGAGCGTCTTGGGTGCCTTGGGGGAGCCTCTTCGGGCCTCTTGGGAGCCTCTTGGAGGCCGTTTGGGGCGTCTTGGGGGCCTCTTGGCGGCCCCAGGGGCTTCCAGGAGCGTCTTGGGTGCCTCGGGGGAGCCTCTCGGGGCCTCTTGGGGGCCTCTTGGGGGCATAGAGGGGCCACTTGGGCTCTCTTTTGAGCCTCTTGGGAGCGTCCGGGGGCCCTCTTGGGCGCCTCTTGGAGCGTCTTGGGGGCCTGTTGGGGCCATCTTTGGGGCGATCGATCACAGATGGGGCGAGCATTTTTGTCAGTACCCCCGTCGGGGCCACGATCCTCGTGAGGGGTGTCGAATTTTAGCCCTCCCAGGGATAGAAAAAGGACCCTCTGACCACCCGCGAAACCCCCTCTCCAGGTCCAGGGGGAGGGGGTAGGGGGAGGGGTAAACCCCTCCCCGAAGGGGAAGAAGGGGGGTTGAGAACAGAGAGAGCTCGCTAAACCACTCACGCCCAAAGGGCTGGTGGGATTCGATTCCGACACTGTGCCGATGCAGTCCGATCTGGCGCACATTTGTTCGTGCTGAGATGACGACTCGATGCTGGCGTATCCCGCCTTCTGTGTCGATGGCGACGCCGGTGGTAGCGACGACGGTGTCGGGGCGGACGAAAGGGAGGTTTTAGGACAGGAGGAGTGGGCGAAGCCTGCTTCGCCCAGTGCGCACCTCGAAACACCGAGCAGGGGCGACTACATAATAGATGCACCCAAAATTCAGATGCTCGTCGAATCTACGGCAATGGCGTCGAGTGTTGCGCCCATCGACGAACCCTCTGCGTATTTTCGCAAGCTCGGCAAACCTTCAAGTTGGGGGTAAGTCAATTCTGTAGTCGACCCCCCTACTCGAGATCAGGGCCTCCCCTGGAGCCGGGAGGCGCCTGGCAACATCTCGCTGCATCGGAGGTGAGGGGGTGAGATCGAAGTGGAACGGAGAGCCCCCCTGCCGGGAAATCGATTTCGGTTTCGTGTTCGTGCGTGCCGTGCGTGCGGGCGAGGCGAAGCTGCGTGGGCGGGCGAGAGGAAAGTCTCCTGTGGCTGAGGCGCGGCCGGACCAAATGATTCTCCGCCGGGCGGCCGGTGGCGCGCGGTGTCCCGCCGGTGTCCCGCCGGTGTCCCGTCGGTGTCCCTGTGGCTGAGGCGCGGCTGGACCAAATGTGTCTCTTCCGGACGGCTGGTGGCGCGCGGTGTCCCGCCGCTGTCCCGCCGGTGTCCCGTCGGTGTCCCGTCGGTGTCCCGATGATGTTGATGATGATTATGATGATGATTATGATGATGGTGATGATGATGATGGTGATGATGATGATGATATTGATGATGATGATGATGATGATGATGATGATGATGATGATGATGATGATGGTGATGTTGATGTTGATAATGATGATGATGATGACGATGATGACGTCGATTGTGAGATCGATTGTGATATCGATAGTGAGATCGAATGTGAGATCGATTGTGAGATCGACAGTGAGACGATTGTGAGATCGATAGTCAGATCGATTATGAGATGATGATGATGATGGTGGTGATGGTGATGATGGTGATGATGGTGATGATGATGGTGGTGATGATGATGATGACGTTGATGATGTTGATGACGATGGTGTCCCGATGACGATGGTGTTGATGATGATGTTGATGATGGTGATGATGATGATGATGTTGATGATGATGATGATGATGATGATAGTGTCTCGGTGATGATGATGATGACGTTGATGATGATGATGATGATGATGTCGATGATGATGATGATGATGATTCTGATGATGATGATGATGATGATGGTGTCCCGATGGTGATGATGATGCTTATTATGTTGATGATGATGATGACGATGATGGTGTCCCGATGATGATGATGATGATGATGATGATGATGATGATGATGATGGTGATGATTATGATGATGACGATGTTGAGGATGATGATGAGATGATGATGATGATGATGATGATGATGATGATGATGATGATGATGATGATGATGATGATGATGATGGTGTCCCGATGATGATGGTGTTGTTGATGATGATGATGTTGATGATGATTATGGTGTCCCGATGATGATGACTATGATGGTGATGGTGATGATCATGATGATGATGATGATGATGATGATGATGATGATGATGATGATGATGATGATTGATGGTGATGATGATGATGCTGGTGTCCCGATGATGATAATGATGATGTTGATGATGACGATGTTGCTCGTCGAGATCGATAGTGATATCGAATGTGAGATCGAATGTGAGTTCGACTGTGATATCGATAGTGAGATCGATCGTGAGATCGATAGTGAGACCGAATGTGAGACCGAATGTGAGATCGACTGTGATATCGATTGTGAGGTCGATAGTGAGATCGACAGTGAGACCGAATGTGAGACCGAATGTGAGATCGATTGTGAGATCGATTGTGAGATCGATAGTGAGATCGATAGCGAGATGGATAGTGATATCGATAGTGAGATCGAATGTGAGATCGATTGTGAGATCGATAGCGAGATCGATTGAGTGAGACGTTGGTTCCCCCTCCCCCCTCACCTCCTTCTCACCCGCAGGGTGGTCGTATAGGTATGTATAGCTGATTCGCTGTCGCCCCCCCTCTGCTGCCACTCTCTTCGTCCGCCCTGGCGGTGGCCGAAGAGGTGGCCTTGTCGGCATGAGTGGCTGGTGGCGGCGATGATGACGACGATGTGTGGTTGATGGGTCGATTCGACTACATCGCCAGAGTGACCTTTGGTGCGGGCCCACTGGGGTCCTCCGATCGCCAAGCGCAGTGCGATAGTAGCGTCCCGCGCGCTTGTGTTTGGTCCCCCCCCCGCGGCCCCCCAAAAGCCGCGCACCAAAGGTCACTCTTACCCAGGGTCGCTCCTGCGTGTAGCACATCGATTGACTGACTGGTTGGATGATTGGTTGATTGCTTGATTGATTCACGAAGCGGATGGAAAACTTATCGATTGACCGAACAGGTTATGCATGTGCGGCGATCGAGGGGGGAAGTGAGAGGGAGAAGGTCTTCTCAGAAGGCGGCGGGACTCCTCGGAAGCCCTCGCGCCCTCTGAGAAGTTTTTAGTGTCTTCGGGGAAGGCGTAGAACACTTCTCAGAAGGCCGGGGTACTTCCGAGCCTTCTGAGAAGCCTGCTTTTTTCACTTCCCCCTCCCCAGCTCGCCGCGGAAGGAACGGATAGTCATGCTTGATGGCTTGAGAGTGTCGAGTGGGAGCCCTCCGCATAGTAGCAAGAACACTGCGGCATGCTGCGGTGGTTTACGCGTGCACGTGCTTGCACTGGACTTGATTGCAAGTGAGTCGCGTGTGAGCTGCCTGCTCGGATCCTCGGAGCTGCAAGGGCTCCTCTCACCAGACGTCAGAGTGCGCCGAGATCGGAGAGCCCATGGGGTAGGGGAAGAGGGGATGCTCGGAGACAGCCAGACTGCATCACGATCGGCTTCTGGAGGTCCGCGCGGACCTTCGAAAGCCAACGTACATGAGTACTGTTTGTTATCTGAAGAGGTGGTGGGGAGGGGGATAAGGGGTATGCAGCGGAATCCTGCGCCAAGAAACACCATGCTTGCCGCCAGGGCGCCCTGGGTTTCGGGCTTCGATGGTTTTTCCATGGACAGCGTGACGTTCCCGCACCGAAAATCAATGGACGTCCCTGGGGTCTCAGGGTTGGGTTTCCTGTGACAGGTTTCTTGTGGTCGAGCTCCTACTGTAGCCAGACTCGAAGAAGCGAGGCAGGCCGCCGATAAGCTGGATCGCACGCCTCGCAGCGCCGCCCGCGTCGGCCGCGTCCGCGGGTATACCCTTCTCCTCGCCCGGGGGCAGCGCCAACCGTGCCTTGCCCACGCCTTCCCTGCGGCCAGGCCCCTCCTCCGACTCATCCTCCTCGGTCTCCCGCCGAGGCACCTTTGCCACTGGGTCCCCTTCCAGGTAAACAGGCTGGTAGCAGCTCGATCGTCACCTCGCCCGTGCCTGTCCGAGGGTCGTGGGCAACCGCGGTGTTCGGCAGCGGCGGGCGGGGGAGGTACTGTTGCACCTCGTCGCCTGCTTTGCCCCCTACCCTTCCTTCCCACGGCCGCCCGCCCAGGCGTGCGTGGGGGTCGGCTGGCATCCGTGGGAGTGGCGCCCCACGGGGGCTTCCTGGGGCGGCGCGCCATGGTGCGTGCCATTCTCCGAGGGCCCTGGGCCGCAGCGCAGCGCAGGCCCAGAGCCTCCCTGCTGCCCCCGGGTGCCCGCCGCCCCGGAAAGGTCAGAACGCGCGGCGCGCCAAAGTGCGTGCCGCTCAGGCTTTAGAGCATGAGGGGAGGGACTCGCCGTAGCTTCTGCTCTGGGGTGAACGCCGTGCTCGGGAGCAAGAGGGGAGGAACCCGCATTAGCTTTTGCTCTACGGGTGAGCGCTTTGCTCTTGTAGAGCTGTGGAATCGTATCGCACTTGCGATGGCGGTCATCCTTGTAATCCTCGGTCCTCCGCCTCGTTCGCCACCTCTCATTCCAGAGACGTGTGATTCGATTTCGCCGGAGCTCGGGTCTGCCGACGGCGCTTTGCCAGCCCAGTGGTGGGTGTTGACGGCCCAGGTCTCGCGAGATGCTCGCGCCAAGGGGAGGCAAAAGGGGTGCGCTGCCAGGGGGCAGGGACTGCTCGCATTCACTGGGGAGCCTCGTCGAAGACATGGGTGACCGGCGCCCATGGATACGCGTGCTGCTCCCCCCACCGCTGATAGCAGCTGGAGCTCGCGTCAAGTCTCAGACAAGGCCCTGCCACTTTTCTGACGGCTCCGTCGGACGCAGTTGCCCGAACTCGAGTCGCACGTCTCCTCCTCTTCCTCCTCCTCCTCCTCCTCCTCCTCCTCCTCCTCCTCCTCCTCCTCCTCCTCCTCTCCCCGACCCCAGCGACACCTGCGGAAGCAGGTTCTCGCTTGCGCGGTTTGTGAGCTTCCGATCTCTGGATGGCGCCTCGCTGAGGCGGCTTGCTCCACAATGCCTGGGCAGGCCGCCTTTCAGCTTCTGTGAGGGAGTCCTCCTCCTTCTCCTCCTCCGCCAGGGCAGGGGGGAAGAGATCGTGGGCAGGGCGTGCCGCGATCTCTTCCACCTGCCTTGGTGCACCGGTTGGCTGGGCTCGCCAGATCAGGTGGCCCCAACCCAATTTTTGGTGACCTTCCAGGACCCCCCATAAAAGATATCGTCGACAATGGTTCGATTCTAGTTCGATTCAGGTCCGACTCGATTTTAATTCAAATTCGACTCAAGTCGACAGACGTTAGACGCAGCATCAACGCATGAGTGGTGCGAGTGGCCGCAGGAAGCTTGCGAGAACGGACACTCAAAGCTAGGGTCTACCGCATGTTTTTTCGGCAGACTATGGCACCCTCCAGATGTTTTCTCGCGAGGGGGAGGGCGAGGGGGAGGGAGAGGGGAAGGTAGAGGGAGGGAGGGA